ACTGATAGAAGAACAAAGTTGAAGGACTTCTACCACATGACTTTAAGATATTATTTTAAAGCTACAGAACTGGCAAAAGAACAACTGCATGAAGGAAACAGAAAAGAGAGCCCAGATACAGAGCCCCATAAAGTCTTTGATAAGGGAGCAGGTTTTGACAATAGAGAAAAGATAACCTTTGCAACAAATGGGGCTGGAACACTTGGATAGCCTCATGAAAAAGTAATGAATACAGTCACAAGCCATATACCATTCAAAGAAATGAACTCAGAATGGAAAACAGATCTAAATGTAAAACATAAAACTATAAAATGCCTAGAAGACAGGAAAGTACATAGATGATCTTCTATAGGGTAATGACTTTTTAGATATAACACCAAAAGCAAGATCCATGAAAGAATTACTAAGTTGGACATCACTAAAACTAAAAATTTTCTCCTGGAAAGACAATGTCAAGTAAATGAGAACACTCGGAGCAAATATCTGTTAAGTACACAACTAATTAGGGCAGTTATTTGAAATAAACAAATAACTCTTAAAATTCAACAATTAGAAAATGCACAACCTGATTAAAAATCAAGCAAAAGATCTTCATAGACACCAGAGAAGATAAACCAATCGCAAACAAATATGTGAAAAGATATTCAGGAACACATTTCGGCCCTCCCTGGTGGCGCAGTGGGTTAAAGCACAGCACTGAGAAGCTAAAGCCACTTTCGCATAAGTTCGATTTCCGCCTGCCCACATGGCGAGGCAGACCTCTCCTGACCCCACCCGCTGCTCCCCTCAGCAGTGTACTTCGTTGATCTGCCTGTTCTGCTCCGCACTCTGTCTCTGGTGAAGCCTCTCACCACCCCTGAGCCTCTGGAATGTACCCCAGTTCTGTATGCACAAATACATCTTTAAAAAAAAAAAAAAAGAACACATTTCATTAGAGAATTGCATAAAACAATGAGATAGCACCACATCCCTATTAGACTGGTCAAAATCCACAGCACTGAGAAAACCACTGGCTAGGATGTAGTATAATAAGAGGAACTCTTATTCATAATGACATGAAAACAAAATAGTACAGCCAATTTGGAAGACACTTCAGTGATTTCTTACAAAGTTATACAATTCAGCAATGTCCTTGCTTGGTATTTATCCAAATGAGCTAGAAAAATATTACCACACAAAAATCTGCACATAAAGTTTATTTATAGTTGCCAAACTTGGGATGCAGCCAAAATGCCTTCGATGGGTGAATACATTGTAGTACATCCTGATAATGTACAATTTATTGCCAAAAAAGAAAAAATTAACTACTATTAAGCCCTGGAGACATGACGGAATCATAAAGGGCTATTACCAAATGAGAGAAGCCAAAAGTATGCTGAAAAGGCACTGTCTGATTCCAAATATATGACATTATGGAAAAGGTAAAACTATGAATACAGAAAGATGAAAGTTAAAGAAAGATGGGGGGATAAATAGGTAGAGAGCAGAGGTGAAACTTTCATATGTTACTACTATGGTGGATACTGACTGTGAATGCATTTGTTGAAACCCACACAATGTAGAACACCAAAGAAAAACTGTCAATGTGAGTCTATAAAATGTAAATACCACTGGGTAAGGATTATAGTGGGGAGGCTGTGTGAGTGTACAGGCGGGGAATATATGGGAAATCTTGGCACTTTCTATTTAGTTTTTTCTGTAAATCTAAAAGTGCCCTAAAAAATATTAAACAAAAACCTAAATATATATATCTATATAGATAGATATATATATCTAGGACTTCCCTGGTCACTTAAGGGTTAAGTCCCAGAGCTATCACTGTGGTGGCACACCTCTATGCCTGAGTTAAATCCCTGGCCAGGTAGCTAGCCCATATATAGCATAGCAAACCTCTCTTGTCTCAGCTGCTGCTCCCCTCAGCTGTGTATTTCAGAACATCTACCTGTACAGCTCTCCCCACTCTGTGGTGATCCTTTCACCACCCCCCTCATTCCCCGCATCTCTGTTCTATACCCCTGTTCTACTCAAAATAAATAAAGCATGTGTATACACACACACACACACATATGCACACATAATATAGGTCCTTAAATAATGTTCTTTTGCTCAATGTCATTTTTTAATAAATTTATGAAGGGAAAGAATAATCAATTCCTGGCCAGAGCCATTTTCTGTGTGGGAGTACAGAATTCACCCTATGTCTATGTGGATTTTCTCCAGTCATACCAGTTTCTTCCTACATCTCAAAGACATCAGACAAACTAGCATGTCTAAATGGCCCGAATTTGGGTGTGTGTGTGTCTGAGAGCCCTGTGATGGGAAGGTGTCCTCTCCAAGGTGGATTCCTGAGCTGTCTGGATAGGTTCTGGCACCCATGATCTTGAACTGGAAAAAACGGATTGAAAAATGAATGGATAAATAAATGCAAATTAACTGTTTCATATTAAAAGTGTTTGGAGGTTTTTTTGTATTTTTTTTTTAAAGATTTATTTATTTGTGCATACAGAACTGGGGTACAGGCCAGAGACTCAGGGGTGGCGAAAGACTTCACCAGAGACAGTGTGGGGAGCAGAACAGGCAGATCAACGAAGTACACTGCTGAGGGGAGCAGTGGGTGGGTCAGGAGAGGTCTGCCACACCATGTGGTCACCTCGGGGCAGGTGGGAATCGAACTCATGCGGAAGTGGTTTCAGCTTCTTAATGCAGTACTTTAACCCACTGCGCCACCAGGGAGGGCCGTGTTTGGAGTTTTTATTTAAAAGTTTGTTGATATTTATGGCCTTCCCTGGTGATGCAGTATTTTTGTAACCAGAAATATACTGTAGGAGATTAACTCATTTGTATCAATTACCTATAAAATTAGTTTTATTATATATACTGTTTCAACGAAAGTCCCAGTTTCTAGAATGTGAGGAAGATGCTAAGTGAGGACTTATCTATGTGTGCATATCTCAGTGTATATATTTGTGTATACATAGTACACATAAAAAATTTAAATATTTATTCTACATTAATAACATGTATTTCTGATACAGGCCATTTCTGAACAAGAAAAGTGTGATTTGATTTTTCTGCAGTAAATTTTCATTTTACCACAGCATCTTTCAAAAGCAACATGTATCTGCATTGGCAGAAACGTAATTTTCAGCTTCTTGGTGATTTGGCCAGGATGTTCATAATATACTGACATCTTATACTTAGCATATACTAAACAGTTAAGAGGAATACTTATAGAAAATAATTTACTGCCAGGTATTATTTTCAATATACCACAATAACCATGTAGGTAGATTATGTAAATCTTTTTTTTTTTAAGTGAATGAATTTTGGAGTTGGAAGGAACCACTCCATTTCACCTCCATTTGAAGTCCATCATAAAAAGTACAGCTTTTTAATTACAAAAAAGGTCTTCATGTTCTGCCCTTGCCTACTGCTCTAGTTTCATCTTTTGTTACTTCCTATTAGAAGCCCTGTGTAAACTGTGCTGTGACTCACCATTTCCTATTAATTTGTTAAGTTCTTTCATAATTCAGTATCTTGGAAAATATATCCCAGTGGTCTAAACTTTACCAGAGCCATCCACACTTAGCAAACTCCTTGTTTATCTTTTACCACATCACCTGAATCATAATCACCTAGAAAACAATTTAAGTTTGAACATAGAACTCTGAGTGTGGGATAATTCTAAGCAGAAAAAGAACTGCCAAGAAATCATGAACTTGATTTAACAGGTAACTATTCTGTTACTGGTATAATAAATTTTGTGTAGGATGTAGCATATGAATAAATATGACAGATTTTCGGGAATCAGGTTTTTATGTGAGAGAAGTGAGATACAAATAAAGACTAAATGAAGATGAGGAAGACCCCTACAGTGCTCAATTTGAATTGGAGGTATCACTTTGAACACACTTAAAAAAAGGAGAGAAGAAGGTACTCCCTGATTCTGCACACTGAAAGGGTCGATCTGCAAAGGTAAGCAATAGCAATGAGCATATCTATATCCAGATTTTGTTTCTGAATTCCACTCATCACTATAAAAGTAGTTCTAGCATTATTCAAAAAATAGTTTATTCCATGACTAGAGCAAGAAAAGAAAAAGGTAAGCCTGGGTTTCACGTTAAGCTCAAATAAAGGAACGTTTAAAGACTAAGTCATATCAAAAGGCGTAGGAGCCTTTTGAGATTATTTAATATCAGTAGGAATAAGGATGTACTTAATTATTTTTCATAGAATAAAAAATGCCAGATAACAAACCTAAAAGGGAACTTATTTTAGTACCACCCTCCAATGTAATAAACAATCAGGTAATGATTATTAGTATAAACTAAGAACAGTGAAAGCTTGTGGGAGTATTCATAGGGTCTCAAAGCATCAAACTACAGAGCTTGTTTTAACTATAAGGAGGAAAACATAACTTCAAGGTGGAGTTTATCACCAACCAACCAAGTCATAAAATATATCTTCACCGATAGTGGGACAAACTGATAGACCTCTTGATATAATGTGATGTTCACAACACTCCTATATTTCTGCTGAAACTGTTACCTTGAATGTGATCATAAGGAAACTATAAATTAGAAGAATTAAATCCACAGGTAAACTTTAAATTACCCACACACTACAAAAAAGTCAATGTCATGACAAAATAAAGAAACCTTCACTCTCTGAACTCAGCTCTTTTCTATCTGCACCTAACACCTATTCATTGTTTGTTGTATGAATGAGATAACTGATACGCTAGACAGGTTAAAACTGAAGTTCCGACACTGTTCACACATAAGGGCTCAAATTTAATCAAACCCATCAAGCAAAGAAGGCAAATAAATGTCCTATTTGATCTAAACCATTGTAATAAATGCCCACATATCAGGATTCAAAATGATTTAAAAATAAATCATAAAAACCCTCATGCAGTCTTACCCTTAAATCATTACAGACATATTTTCATTTTAAATTCTTTTCATCGTTTAACTCAAAGAAATCAAGAAAATGCATACCTGTTCTATATCCTTGGAATTAGAAGTCTGATTTTCTCCCACTACTCCAGGCTGTTCATTTTCCCACGGTAATTTATTTTTTCCTTTTCCTGCACTTAACACCCTTCGAGTACAGATAGTTGGACTATAAGATCCATACAATTGCATGCTATCCCTTGTGTGGTCACCACAGTGACAATGTGCACTTTGAGTTCTGTTACCAGCCAAAAGCCAGTCTGCATCTGCTCCATGTGTCAAATGGCTTGACCTACCCTGTGCAGAAGATGGCATAAGTATTGCATATTCCACAAATCCCTGTTCTGTTAACCTTGGGAGGGTCTTCCTAGCCAATCGGGCCTGCACAGCATTCATAACTCCATCGCCATTATCTTGCAGCTCAACAGTATCCACAGCTTTGAAAAGTATACTAGTTTTACCTGAGCCCATTGATGATGCCAACACAGCAAAAGCTTCCAGAGCTGCTTGGCGTACCCTGCGTTTGCTATCTACAAGAGCTGGGGCAAGATCAAAAGACAGTTTGGGTAAATCAAAATCTTCACTGGGATATGTCAGGAGGGAGCAGATGCAAATGTTCACCACCTCCTCTCTTACTCTGGAATGTTTATGTTTGAGATGATCCAGAAGTAAACAAAGCACCTGTTGAGGACCAACTTCCTTCATTAGCTTGAGGAAGATTTTCATGTATTCTTGTTTAATCACCAACTTGTTATCTGCCAGCACTTTGACAGAAGCTGCTATAACTGGTGCCAAGAACTGCTGTACCTGATCTCCAAGGCGAATAACTAGTAAGTGTAGGACCTGAAGTGTGCCATGGACCACTTTGAAGTTAGAATCATCTAATAAGTTATACAGCAAGCTAATGAAACCGACAAGACTAGAATGAGGGGTAGAACCAGGGTTAAATCGTCCCATCACCTGTTTTAGTTCCTCAACTGCCTGAGTCCGGTTTTTATAATTTTCTTGATCTAACAATCTTGAATGCAGCTCCTGAGGAATAATCCCAAATTTAAGATTGCTGTTGGAAAGAGTCACTGCACAGGGAAGGGGATCGTCAGGAAATCCAGAGGCTTCAAGTTCCAAATAATAAGGAACCTGACTTCCAAACTGGGATTCCAGGCGGCGATTGTAGTGTCTCCTCAGAGCAGAAGGCAGACGAGAGATATAGGATTGAAATCTCTCTTGGCCTAGTCGCTCCCCGATTTGTTGAAGTGCTGAAAAAGCAGTCTCTGATTCTTCTTCTGTTTCCTGATCGCCAAGTTTTCGAGCTAACGATATTATCACCTCAGTAAGATCTAGGCCAAGCAACAAATCCTCAGGAGTGAGCAAGACAGGTAACAGTAGTGCTGTGGAAGCTCTAAGTCGGGCATCCGTACTTTCTAAACCTTGCTGTATAAGTGTTCTCAGCACCTGCCCAGAACTACGTTTCAGACATATGTGTAGAATCTGCAGGGCATCTTTCCGCAGGGCAGGGTTTTCTTCTCGTAAGGAGGCAACTAGTTGCGGCAAAAGCGCTAAACTAAATGTCTCTTCCAGCTGGCCTGCCTCCCCCTGACCCCGGAGAACATCCGAAAGGAGTTGCAAGCAGAGTCGCTTTTCATCACTATCTCCTTCCACGAGCACTCGGCCCAGAGCCCTATACAATGCTTCCTTACGTCGGGGAAAGCCGAGTCGACCACCCCGCCGGGGCAAAGCAGCCTGCAAAGCCTGGAAGGCCTCGGAAGGATCAGGCACAGTGCGTAGGTGCTGTAGGAGCCGCGTCTCCTCTTCGTCTCCCCCTGACAAACCACCCCCAGACCCAGACCAACTACTTGAGATTGTCTCCGTGGGCATCAAGAGGGCCGAGGCCAGGGGTGATGGTGTCGGAGGGCAGGAACCATGATCCCCAGCAGCTCCACGGCAGCAGTAGTTTTTCTCTCCTCTCATGGTGCCCCCACTTGGACTATCATCAGTCTCTGGGGCGGAAGGTCGACAGCGGCTTTGGAGGCAATAGGTACAGAAAGCTGAAGTCGGCAGTAGGAGCAGCGCGGAGGGCGCAGCCGCCATGGAGGGTGGTCAAGTGGCGGAGACTGAAGGAAACCATCGTCTCCGATGGGCTTTCCGGAGCCCAATCTTCTTACTCCACGCCAAGTCGCAAGCTGCAAAGAATGAAAAGGAACAGCTTCAGCGAGTTGCCAATCTGGCCCCGGAACCCTAGAGGCCGCCTACGGCAAAATGGCCCCCGCCGGAGCCCCAGACCCCTCTGCTGCCACCGGGCGTAACCAGGGGCACCACGTGACCAAACCGACCGCTTCCATGGTGATGGACCCAGAACGGACCTTTTGACCCGGAAATTAATTTGCCGTGGTGAATGCTGGGTCTTGTAGTCCACGTCAGGAGTTACGAACAAGTCAAAGACTCCTAGAAAAGGAAGTCAGAACGTTGCGAACGTAGAGAACGTAAGGTAGAAGGCTTAGAAGGGAGGGGGGGGGGGAGTTGGGGTGAAGGCAATAGGCGGAAGTGACGCTATGCTCGCTCCGGGCGGAAGTTTCCCGCCCCACCCGTAAGAATTAGGGTTTGACTGGAGGCAAGTGAAGAGCTGTTCAGTCTCCAGTTGCCCTCGGCTACTCCTCCGGTCGCTGGCGGCGTGATTCCTGGGACTCAGGTACTTTCCTTTTGCTGTCGTCCTGGCAGGCGTTTGCAGTTTTGCCGGGTGCTAGAGTAAGAAACAAACGAGACTAGAGAGAAGAGTGGAAAGGAGAGAGGGAAAAGAAAGGGGGGAGGGAGAGGGAGAAACGAGGGAAGAGGGAGCGCAAGAGGGAAGGAGGGAGGAGTGAGAGGCGCGACGTCTTCTTGTGCAGGTCTTGTTAACCGTTGTCGCCCTGAGAAAATGCGATCTTTTCTTCTTGCGATGTGCTTTCTCCGGATCAAGGCCAAGCTCCTAGGTCACGCGTAGATTTTTTCAAATCCTAGCTTTGGGCTCCCTTTTCATGTACCCCTTATCCTCGGATCATGGAGGGTTATTGGCTTTCTGTTTTTCCTTATCACTTCAACTTCTTGAAAATGTAATTAATGTGGAAATAAATCTTTTTTCCTATAGCTGCCTCTCCCTTAGGAGTTAGCTGGCTCCAGATCAGTTCAGCCGTGGGACTCCCCCCGCTACCCCCTTCCTCTTCCTCCGCCACCCCAACCTCCCTCCTGTATTTTCACGCGATTCTGCAGCCATTCAGTCTCCTGGAAACGGGGATTGCAAAGACAATTTCAGTTATGGTAGAAGTTCTTGAGATCAAGGTTCTTAAAGAACTCTGCCCAGTATATTTAAAGCTGTTAGTAGATATTTCTTTGTTTTAGCAGAGCTAAATGAAACTTAAGCGGACACAATTTAACAAGTTGAGTGTCTGGGTGAGGCGTCCTTAGATTGTGGAAGAGTTGTTTTTTGAACACAATAACTTTTGAAAGACCCAGAGAGAAAAAGAGTTATCATTTGAGGTCCCTACTGTATACTCTTCAACTGCCAAGTATTTTTTTTTTTTTGAGCTAA